TCTTCAGCTCAAGGCTAGCGCTCTACCACTGGAGCCACAGCGCCACTTCTGGCTTTTTCTGTTTATGTGGTGCTGAGGAATCGAACCCAGGGCCTCATGCTTGCAAGGCAAGCACTCTACCACTGGGCCACCTTCCCAGCCCTCTGGTATGTTCTTGTTAGCCTTGCTACTCATGTGTAGTTTGTGTTTTGAAATGCATGTGTGGCTTCCATTAGTCAGACGTTTGCAAGTCCTTTTCCATTTGTGAAGTGACACAGGTGTAAAAGTGTCAGGGCAGCTAACTAAAATCCTTGAGCTCTCCTATCACCCAACTTGCTGTTATGTCACTGAGGCCCTAGGACTTGACCCTACAAGTTACTTTCCTGATAGCAGCTTTCACATCCTTGTTTCTCAAAGTGTAGATGAGTGGATTTAACATTGGGGTCACTGCTGCATAAAATATAGAGACAATTTTGTCCTCATCTTGGGACTTTTTGCTCTGGGGTCTCACATAAATATATATTAGTGTTCCGAAGAAGACGGTAACCACCATCAGGTGAGAGCCACATGTGGAAAAGGCTTTAAGTTGGGCCTCAATGGGGCGGATCCTTAAGACAGCCCGAAGGATACAAAGGTAAGAGATAAGAATCAAAATTAAAGGTACTGGCATTGAAATGACAGCACATGCCACCATCATAATCTCTAGGGAAATGGTATTGGAACAGAGCAATTTAAAGATGGCTTGAACCTCACAGGAAAAGTGATTAACTGTGTTATGTCCACAGAAACTGATCGGAAAGAGCAGAATGGGTATAAGAGTGAGCAGGAGGGCTGCCATCCAGGCAACCAAAGCCATTGAAATGCATACTTGAGAAGACATGACCAGGTTATACCTGAGAGGATCTGAAATAGCCACAAATCGGTCATAAGCCATAATGGCAAGAAGAAAACATTCAGCCAGTGCCAAAAAGGCTTGGATGGCAAGCTGAGCAAAACAAGAGCTGTAGGAGATGGTAGAGAAGTTCTGCAGTGAGTTCACCATGACCAAGGGAACAGCACTGGTTGAAAACAGAAGATCCAGTAAAGACAAATTTCCAAGAAAGAAATACATTGGGGTGTGCAGCTGAGAGTTGATCCCTACCAGGAAGATGATCATACTATTTCCTGCCAAAGTTATTACGTAGAGAAACATCAATACCCAGAACAGAACACTCTGGGATGTGGGATTCCTAGACAGTCCCACAAGAATGAACTCAGTCACTCTGGTATGGTTTCCAATTTCCTGGTAATTCATTTCCTCTGTCCACAGCTACAGGAGAGGAGAGAAAGCAGACGCATCAGCTCTTGGTCAAAAAGGAATGCACTGATTATACTACAAAGTTGGTTTGAGCACAGTAGGTCTGTGAGGAATTGATATCCACACATCTCTGGAGCTATCAGCCACCAAAGCACCAGAAGACCATCCCCATTCCTGCATACTTGCTGGGAAACTAAAAGGGAAATCCTCTGGCAAAAACGGCATGAACTTCCAGATTCGTGTGAACACAACATTCAAAGAACAGAGATTCAGAGCATTCATCAAGCCTTCTAGACAACAAACTTCTTGTGAACTTCCACTTCAAGTTAAATGAGGCGTAACCACAGATTAAAAAGTAATTACCTCAATAATGCAGTGAAAGAAGGATGACAGTACAGTGTAAAGAAGAAAGAAAGGAGAAAGGGGGGTTAGAAAGTCAGGATACTTAAAGGAAGGACTGCCATGCTAGGTGCTTGTAGGTGCTTCTTTTCCCTTTTTACACTTTTCTATGTGTGGGCAGGTTGGGGGGCTGGCAGGCCAAGAGTCAGTGCTGAGGTCTTCATTGGTAATGCTTTGTCTGGCTGACAGGACGGGAATTGCTCCCCCTTTCGTCTGAATGATGACATCTGAGAACTTGGTAGCTTTCAACTTTTTTCCTGCAGCAGGAATGAGAAAATAGACAAATGCTGGCAAATGTTCAGATGTCTAATTGTAAGATTCCAATGTCAGAATGAAGGAGAAAAACATAGTCCTAGAGATGCTAGCTCAGTCTTTCACTTCATCTGTGACTTTGGGAAGGCTTGTAAAAGACCTCAACTTCCCAAAATTTGGCTTTTGTCAAGGGCAAGTGTCTGCCTTGCCATATCACAGCTCTTTAGCCACATCTGTTTCATGCGATTCCCATTCCTCACATTTCTTGTTATACTTTCTGTTGCCTCGTGGCATTGTACACTGTAGTTCAGAGAGATTGGAAGCAGTGTCTGTCTCTGCTGCAGTACCCAGCATGTAGCTTGAATAAAGCAGAGGCTTTTGACAATGCTGGTGAAGAGAAGGAAGATTTTCTATGAGTGGCTTCCAAAAGTAAAGATCCATATGAAGTGCTCCAAGTCGTATGTGACAACTTAGAAGACTGGGCCACATTTGTTTAAGTCATCAGAGACTTGCCCAAGGTTCTGTCCATCAGTCTTGAAACACTTTTGCTCAGCTCCCTTGAAAATCAGTCTGGAAAACCATTCACATACATAGGTATTTTAAAACTACCATCTAAGATTTGTCATAAAGATGATTTCTTACCACTGATTTTCAAAATTCAAAACTATTCCTGCATGAATATTCCTTGGAAGAGTTTCATTTACTTCCAGTAGTGTGCATACCCAGGTTTGAAGCCCTTGACCAAACAATCTATCAGAGGTCACTGATGTGCTTGCTCCATATCAAGCATCTGATGGAAAGGCTACTGCTACATCCATGAGATCACAACACCATTAACACCAACTCCGACCTCATGTGGATGTGCAGTAACCCGTCCCTTCCCTTGTCAAATCGTGGCATGTTTGCCCAAATTCAATATTTTTTGGATAGCCATAAAATCTTTACTTACCCAAAGCATTGACTTCTTGTTCTTCTGGAGGATGGGAAGATCTGTGTCCTCTGCAGGCTGTGTAGCAGAAAATTAACACGTGGAAAGAGATGAGGATGCATTCTTTCCCGGAGGGGCAGGCTACATTTTCCTTTTTCTATAGCTATGAATATTCTCCAAGAAGTGGGCCCAAGATTCTGAGATATACCTGGGATAGGCACGAGGGATCTATCTCTAGGCACAACCTTGTTAAGGACTTGGGAAGCCTGGGCTACTCCAAGAAAATCATCTGAAACTCAGTTTTTCTGTAGCCTTTCATTGCAACCCCTTTCTCCACAACTCAGAGCTGCAATGAAGCTAGAAAAAGTAATATGAAAATCGAGTACTCTTGTTATGGTTGGCCAACTATACTTGGCACATGTACAGCTAGGCTCACACTCAAGGAGAAAGGAGACTTTCCAGTCACCTGATTCCCAATGTGGCACTGAAACATATCATGACATTCTAGTCTGCAACTAGGTTGCAAAGAGCAGAGCTGGACTTAGGTTTAACTGCACTGGCCTTATTATTTGGAGAACTCTTTAGGATCTTGGCGAAGAGTCTCAGGAGAAATAATTAGGAGTGTTTACCAACCATAATACTGAAGTTGTGAGTAGCCTCTTGTGGGCAGCCACAGTAGTAAATGTAGCCCCTGGTGGAATACGCAGACTTACTCTTTGGGCCCAAGAATTACAACAAATTACAAGCTCACAGGGCACCCTCATATCCACACACAAGGGATTTCTGAATTTCTTTTCCAATGTGCATTTCAGGGCTCTTTTAGGAATCAGTGACTCCTGTCCAGATATCAGAAATCTTGAACCAGATGCTGGTGGCTCATGCCTGTAATCCTAGGACTTCAGGAGGCTGATATCTGAGGACTGTGGTTCAAAGCCAGACTGGGCAAGGATGAGAGTCTGTGAGACTCTTATCTCCAACGAACCACCAGAAAACTAGAAGTGGCGCTGTGGTTCAAGTGGTGGAGCGTTAGCCTTGAGCACAAAGGGGCTCAAGGTTCAAGCGCCAAGACCAGTAAAACAAAAATCTAATGTTCACTGCTCAACTTAATACAGATCCTGGCATAGAAGAGATGCAGAGTCTGTTTAATTTTGTATGAGGGAGGCAAATGGAAGAATAAGAGACCAGACACATACCCTTGAAGCACACATTAAGACTTGAGCATTGGCTGGGAAGGTGGCTCAGTGCTAGAGTGCTTGCCTTGCAAGCATGAGGCCCTGGGTTTGATTCCTCAGCACCACATAAGCAGAAAAAGCTGGAAGTGATGCTGTGGCTCAAGTAGTAGAACACTAACCTTAAGCTGAAGAGCTGAGGGACAGCGCCCAGGCCCAGAGTTCAGGCACCATGACTGACAAAAAAAAAAAACCCAAACCCCAAAACACTAAAAAAAAAAAAAGAATTGAGCATTAAACATTAGAATTTTCTTTAGAAGGAATACTGAGTGTAAGACTCCATTGAAAGATGAACCTAGACAGATGATCGGAGATCTACCCCACTGTGGTTGTGTGATTTGGGGTGAACTATAACACCTACCCTCTTTCAGCTTCAGAATTTTCCGTTTTGCCATGGAGGGTATAATAGTAGTTACCTCACTTCCTTGTTTGGAGGGATAACTGAAAGAATACATATAGAATGAATCCACAAGTGCATTGTCCACTTAGAAAATGCCTAGTACTCCCTTACTCCCATGAGTGAGTGAAATCTTTCTCTATCGAATGACATAGAGAACATTAGAATTCTAGACTAGGACGGCCCCTGTGTCTTTCTTTCAGTACAGAAGTGAGGTAGTGTCATCATGTTTCCATGGCCATGAATTGTAATTAGGTGGAATGAATCCTAGGAAATATGAACTGCATGATAACCAAATGAAATAATGAAAACTGTTTGACACAAGAGTAAATATGGAAGTTGCTCAGCTTATTTCCTTATTCTATTTAAATGTAGTTCAGTTATCTTCACTTGTTTCAACTTCACTCTTCCCAAAATGTCTCAAATGAGTACCTATTTCCTTACAGTCCCCACTTACTGCAGTCCTCAACGCTATGGTCAGGCTTGTGCATACCATCCCTTTCCATCTGCTGTCACTGAGGCTATACGGACGCCCATAATTAGAAATCTACCTTCAAGTCTGATTCCTTATGTAATCGACCTATCAGTAGCATTTAATCACCACCTTCCCATTTCTCCCTTGACTTCCAAAGCACTACAGATTTTTGGTATTAGTTTTTGATCTATTTTAACTTGATTTCCGTACAGGGTGAGAGATAAGGTCTAGTTTCAGTCTTCTACATGTGAACCTCTAGTTCCATCTAGCACCATTAATTACAGAACTTTTCTTTATATCCATGTAGGTTTTCGTACCTTTGTCAAGAATTAGATGGTAGGTTTATTTCTGGGTGCTCCATTCTTTTGGTTGACATATATGTCTTTATGCCAATGTCATGCTATTCATTACCTTGGCTCTGTAGTATATTTTGAAAACAGACTTTTGGTACTTAGAACAATGCTCTGCTTGATCACTTTTTGAATATTAAAAGTCTTTCATATGAATTTTAAGATGCTGTTTACTAGTTCTAGACTTATTGGTAATTAATGGGTGTTGTATTGAATGTGTAGATTGCTTCTGATAATATACACATTTTAATCATGAATTCTGCTAATCTATAAACATGGGAAGCCTCTTCAAATGCCCTTTTAAAGTTTTTGTTCTGTGCTTTATAATTAATGTTCATTGTGAGGTCATTCACTTCATTGGTTAGTTTTATTTCCTTTCCTTCTTTCCTATCTTCCTTCTTATGTTCCTTCCTTCCTTCCCTCCCTCCCTCTTTCCTTCCTTCCATCTGTCCTTTCCTTTCTTCAATTTTTTTTCCAGTGCTACAACCAAAACTAGGGCCTTGCACACACAATTTCTCCTAGAGTAACAGGGCCTATGCACTGTCCCTGTTCCTTTTTGTTCAAGGCCAGTGCTCTACCATTTAAGCTACAGCTGTTTTTTAGTGATTAATAGGAGATCAGGGCTGGGAAGCTGGCTCAGTGGTAGAGTGCTTGCCTTGCATGCATAAGGCCCTGAGTTTGATTCCTCAGTACCACATAAGCAGAAAAAGCTAGAAGTGATGTTGTGGCTCAAGTGATAGAGCGCTAGCCTTGATCTGAAGAGATGAGGGACAGTGCCCATGTTCAGAGTTCAGGCCCCACGACTGGCAAAAAAAAAACAACCCTAGAGATCAGTCTCTTGAACTTTCCTGCCTGGGCTGGATTTGAACCACTATCCTCAGATCTCAACCTCCTCAGTAGCTAGGAGTATAGATGTGAGCCACTGGTGCCCAGCTCCTAATTCATGTTTAAGTTGCTTTCAGGATAT